AGAACAGGACACTAACAGCATGCACACACCTCACAGTGCATTCATGTATGCCACATGCACGTGAATGTGCACACAGCAACCAGCACACATAGATGCTCCCCAAACACACAGGGAACAGCACCTGTGTGCACATGCACACCACCATCTGCTCCTTGTAGGGCTGGCAGACAATGACGTCAATGTTCCCTGCGGTCCCTGAGTGTGCTCTGAAGGCACAGGCAGGCTATCCCCCACCTGGGCACACAGGCTCCTCTTGGAGTCCTGTGCACTAGGAGGGGCCCCATGTGCGACCTGGGGGAGGTCCCCGTTTGTGTCCTGTAGGGGGTCCCTGTGTGCGTCCTGGAGGGTCCATATGTGCATTCCATGTCCTTTGTACTGGGGAGAGTCCAGACACACAAGGACCCTCAGTCCAGTGTCCAGGAGGGGCGTGGGGGGGGGAACCTCTAAATGAAACCAAAAAGGCAGTGACTGTCCCTACACTGGGTTGCTGTGGGGTCACTGGTCCCTACCCTCCCAACGGCCCCCTCAGAAGTGTATTGGGAGCAGTGCAGGGGCTGGGAGGACACATAGCAATCAAGGGGCCTTGCCCACTGGGGCCATGGACAATGATAGGGGTCAGGAGTGGGGGTGCTCAGAATGAATACCCAGCCATCCTTGAGCCTTTGGTGTGGGAGTCCCCCAGTCCTTTGGAACAGGATTTGATCCCCAAAAGTTGGGGGTGGGAGCAGGGGGAAGACAGTGACACCCTTCTACACCCAGGGCTCCCTCACCTTCACCTTCACCATAATAGACAGGTCAAGGGTTGGTACTGGGATGACTTGGGCCTGGGTGAGGAGAGGGAGTGGGGGACAGGGTGCTCAGGGGTGCACAGGTGACACCCCCTTTCCTGTGAACACCTGGGGCAACTTCAGCATGAGGAGGACACAAGCAAAGGGCTCCAGAGCTTCAAATCCTGACCTTTACTCTGCTGAGCTCGACCTGCCCCCAGAGGGCAGTGGGCTCCCTGACTCACAGTGGGGGGCTAGGTAAGCCCAAAGCTGCCCGGTGCATTGGGGAAGATGGATACTGGCTTTGTGCTTCTGTGAGGCAGCAGAACACAGGTGCTCTTCCAATCACCATGGACACATGACCACCCTCTCAATCTGTCACCACAGTCCCTGTACCTTTTTAGGGTCTGGGCAGTGTGATGAGTATGCACTGCCAGAAAGTGGGACCCTGACTACCACCACACAGCCTAAACATCCACACTGTGAGGATGTCCAAACTGTGAGGTGTCTGTGTGTGACAGTGTCTGGTGCCACTGGGGTACCAAGCTGTTAAGTGGCTGCACCACAGGGCCCTCCTGTGACCTCCCACACCAGGCAAGGGCCTGCCAGGAAACCACTTCCAGGTTAAGCCCACATACTTGTTTGTGGTCAGGGCTGGAGGGCAGTCAGGGTATGGGGTTAGCTCCACTGCCATGACCAAAGCCTGCTCCTACCAAAGCCACATTCACCATCCTTGACTTCTAGTCCTTCCACCCAAGTGCACAGGATGTGACTTCGGACAATCTTGGCATGTTACCTAACCTGGAAGGGGGGTATCTGTATTCACCATTCACTGCTGAGTAACAAATTAGCCTAAAACGTAATGGCTTAGAAGACACATTTATCATCTTACTCAGGTTATCTAAGCATCAGTGTCTGAAGCTCAGGAATCCAGGAACAGCTCTGCTGGCTGAGGCTGGCTCAATTCTCTTCATGCCGTCAAGATGGTGACTGGGGCTGCTGTCTGGTCTGAAGTCTGGGCTGGGGTTAGAGGAGCCGCTTCTAAACTTACTCTCATTGTTGTCACAGGAGGCCTATGGTCCACATGCTATGACCTCCTCATGGGAGAGGATAGTGGGCTTTTGCAGAACAACTGATGTGAGACAGAGACATACAGAGACAGAGAGAGACAGAGGGGGGAGAGACAGACACACAGAGATAGTGACACAGAAAGACAGACAGGGAAGAGAAACAGAGACCCAGAGAGAGACAGGGAGGGAGAGAGACGTAGGAAAGAAACAAGAGACAGAGACAAAGACAGAGACTGATGAGGGGCACAGAGAGACCCAGAGATAGAGATAGAGTAAGATGAGTAAGAGACAGAGAGATGGGGAGAGATAGAGATAGAGAGAGACAGGGGGGACAAAAACAGAGGCAGGGGACACGGGGAGAGACAAAGAGAAAGATACAGACACAGAAAGACAGAGAGCTCACACTGACAGCCTAACTTTGAAGTGACCCATCACCCCTGTGGGACGCTATTGGCCACCTAGCCAATGCTGGTATATTGACAAAATATGATCACCATAAGGCCAGAGCATTGGGGACTGTCTAGGAGGCTATGTCTGGTGTCCTTGAGGACAGGAGCTACCCCAGGGGGTCTAGGGAGCAGACAGAGGACAGCAGGCACAGCTGAGGAATGTTCTAGGCTCAGCCTACTCCTCAGTAAAGGGAGACAGACAGTCCTAGAGTGAGGGGTGAGGCCCCACCCCTCACGTTGGCCCCCAGGATCCCCAGCCCTGACCCCAAAGCCTGGAGTTTAAGAGGCCTGACCCCTGACTTCTGTCCCCATCTGTGTCCTGCTGTCCTTGCTCAGTGCCCAACCTGGTCCTAGAAGCAGTGCACACCCAAACATACAAAGTCAGAACCTACAGATGCAGACCAGCAAATGCAGTGACATCCATCCCAGCCAAGCACTGGGCTCAGGGCTCGGGATGAATGTGACTGTGACCCAGAAGGGAAGAGACTGAGGTCTACCTAGTCACACCCCTGCCTCAGAAGAAGTCTGGATATCTGTGCCCCACCCCCATACCTGGGGAAAGCAGTTCATCTATTATACACCAGAAGCATCTGCAAGACAAAAGCCAAGATAAAAATAGCTGGGGAAAAGGGCCTGGAGGGAAGGACCCCTGAACCCCCCCATCCAATCCTCCCTCTGAGGTAGGGAGGGGGCAGGAAATTAGAAGAGAGTGGGAAAGGCAGGAAGAGACCCCCACTGAAGGGGAGCAACTCCACCTTCAGGGATAAATCCCCCACCAAGGGAAGCCCAGGGCTAGCTCCAGCTCAGGCCATGGGACAACAGGGCACCTTGCTGGACTAGACAGATCCTGGCTGGGCTAGAGGAGCCCTGAGTATGAAGGAACCAACCCAGAAAGCTCTGGAGGCGCTGAGGGAGGCCAAGGGCCCGAGGGCTCAGGGAAGTTGTTCCCTCAGAGCCTGAGAGGTCAGTAGAAGGCTAAGCAGGGTCCTCTCTGCAAAGATCCTTTTGGCCACAGTGTGGAGAACAGGCTACAGGAGACAGGGAGTGAGACAGGTGGGGACAGAAGGTCAGGGGATAGGGGGTGAGGCAAAAGGGGACAGGAGGCCTGGGGCCTCTGGTTGGGGTAGTCTCTGTCCTCTTACTGGAGGAGGAAGAGCGTGATGACCACAAGGCACCATGTTCAGGGTGACTCCCTGGCCCTTTTGGCCAGGTGGAGACGCCCCTCCTTTCCCACAGGAGGTGTGGGACCTGACTCTGATGGCCTGACCCTCTGCACACCCAGCTTCTGTGAGGCCAAGGGTTCCCATCCAAAGCCCCAGGCCCTCCCTGAGCAGTGGCCCCCAACCAGGCTGTGCTTCTGGCTTCTCTCCAGGTGAGTGTTCTCCAAACCCCCATCAATACCTTCCCTTCACTGTTCTACCTGGTGACCCAGTGTGGGGGCTGCTGCTTTGAGGCTCCCCTGGACCAGAACTGCTGAGTAGACTGTCCAAGAGTGTGGTGACTTTTCAACATGGCAGAGGCTGCTGCCACTATCCAGGGACACTGACCCAGCCCCCAAGTCACTGGAGGTGGGCAATGCAGGCACAGAACAGGGGCAGTGCCTTAGGGGGACCCAGGGTTCCTGACAGCATTCATAGCAGGGTCCAGAAGGGCACAGATGGCGAAGATATGGGGTTGGAGGTTAGACCAGTCTCTTCCCCAGTCTCTGACCCTCCTCATCCTGAGAGGCCAGGACAGGTAGTCCCTCACTCTGGATGAGACCCTCTGAAGAGCCTCAGTCCCAGCGCCTTCATGAACTTGGAGCTCAGCCCCCAGCAACAGCTCTAGGGCTCTGCAGCAAGAGGATGGTGACTCCAGAAGTCTGTTCAGGGCTGCAGTTCCAGGCTGTCAGGCAGCGACCAGCACTCCTGACGCCCTTCCCTGCAGTTGCCCCTTCCCTGGGCAGGCACAATGGGGACTGTAGTTCTGTCAAGTTGGGCCAGGAGGGTTTGCACTAAACCATAAGCATAAACAGGAGGTGGACCGCATGAACTGAGAAGTCCGAGCATCAAGCGGTTCTGTCGCAACAGCGCATGATCGTGCACTTGAGGGTGTAAATATGCACGTGTTCCACCCTCCAGCATCCCAGGGGAGAGTCTTTAAAAACAACTTGCCGAATGATACTTCATGGCCTCACTAGAGATATTCTTAAAAATTTCGGGGCTGTCACCTTCCTCCTGGGCCTCTCAGGGGACTCCTTACCCCTATCCCCAGGCCAAAGCAGGTCGCTGACTCCAGTGTACACCCAAACAAAATCAACGTGCAGCAAGACCCAATTTGGAGCGCAGGCGCAGGCTGGCGCGAGAGGAGGGGCCAGGAAGGGGCTGAGACAGAGCATGGGGGTGGGGCTCCCCGCAGTCCCGCCCCGAAGCCCGTCGCAGAGCAACCCGCGGACCCCACACTTGGCATCCGGGCCCTTAGACCTCTGAGGCGGGCGCTGGCGGGAAGGAGAGGGCAGCGGCGGGAATCAGTGGGACACGCAGCTGGCACCGCACTACCAAACTTCACTCTCCAGTGTGCAAACGCCCTCCATAAAGTCATTTCCCGTTTAAAAGAAAATCACACCACCACTCAGGACGCAGCCTCTAGTAATAAATATTCTCTGAATACCTCTCCTCAAAGGGCCTTGGCCCTAGGAGGGGGGCGGCGGCCCCAGAAGTCCGAAAGTCATGTCCTTACCGCACCCACGGCCTCCAGGGCGCGTCCCGGCCCTGTGGCCCCGGCCGGGGAGCAGCAGGGGGAGCCCGGGTCAGACCTGGCACCGGCTTGGGCCCCGACCCGGCGAATGCCGGCAGGAGCGCGAAGGCGGCTCCGGGGCGCAGCAGAGAGAGGGGGCTGTCAAGAGCCGGCAGCAGCGGGCAGCCCGCGTAGACCTCGGCGGCTGGGGCCTCGGCGGCTGAGGTTGGCGGGGTCGGACGGCACGAGGACCCCAGCTGGCTTAGGCAGGCCGCCAGGTGGCCGAGTAGGCGGGAGCGCACGTCGGCGGGGACGCCTTCGCAGCCTGCCAGGAAGCGGCTCACCTCCGCCAGACACTCGTTGAAGCCGGCGCGGTACTTGCCCAGGACGACAGGGTCAGCGGTGAGTGCGGCTGCGGGGTGACAGGCAGTTGGTGCACGCGGCGGCAACCCCGCGCGTCCCACCCCACTCCCGCCGCCTGCGCCTCACCTGTCACCTGAACGCGCCGCAGGCCTTGCAGGTGCCTCACTGTCATCTCTAGGATGTCTGCCTTCTCCAGCTTCGAGTGGCGGGAGCTCTGTGGGCAAGGACAGTAGGCGCTGTAGCCGGCCATGCCCGAGACGCAGGACCCCGCGCCTGGATCCTGCGCCCCCGCCCCAGGCTTACGTCTTTCCTAAGGGCGTCCAGGATGAGGGTCTTGAGCTGCGCGAGGCTCTCGTTGATGCGCGCTCGGCGCCGCTTTTCCATGACGGGCTTGGAGGACTGCAGGCGGGCAGAGGCTGAGTCCTGCGTACACCTGCCCCTGCCCCGCCCACCCGGTCCGGTTCTCACCTTGCGATGCTCTGCAACGCTTCGGGGCTTGTCTGGGTTACGGCGGGCACTGGCCGGTGCTCCTGCCCGTGGCGAATCGCTCGGCTTTCCCGGAGGCTCTGCGGGCATGGTGACCCTGCGCCTCCCTTACCAGGCGGGGCGGGCGAGTGGCGGGCCCGCGGCACTCCGTGCCGCTGAGGCGGGGGCCGAGACTCCGGCCCGCACGCGGCGCCCGCGGCCGGGGTGCTTAGGGCCGCACCGCCCAGCGTGTGAACCCGGCTCTTCTCTCTTTCCCACACTCGCGCGGCCAATGGGCGGCTGCCCCGCCCCCGCGCAGCTCGCCCGCCCAGCCGCCTGTCAGTCACGCGCCGCTTCCCCGCCCGCCACCCGCGGGCGACAAAGGCGCGCCGGGTACCAGCCCGCTCCCGGGCCTCTGGCTTAGCCCGGATGGGAGGGGACCTCCTCGCCCTTGCTCCCACCCGCGCCGCTCCGGGTCCCGGGCTGTGCGCCAGGAAGGACCAATCCCAGCTGGCCTGGGCCTGTGGACCCGGGGCGGGGGCTTGGCTGCTTACCCTCCGGCCACAGAGCTCTGGGAGGGCGAGTTGAAGAATCTGAAAGGAAAATTCTCAAGGGGAACAGCGTCGGGGCCTCCGCATGTCACAGCGAGATCCGACTGAGCCCCTCCTTGACCTTCCAGGACCCTTATCTCCTGAAGCGGGATGGTCTGGGCCCCCTTTGCGGCGCCTTCTGCAGCTTCTTCCAGTGCATGCGGCCCCTTCTGTAGGTGGCTAAGCACCCCACACCTATTAATTTATTCTTGAAAGATACTCAGGTTATGGGTGCTAGCATTTTCTTTTTATAAGTGAGAAAACTAAGGCGCAGAAAGGTTAAGCATGGCTCAGGGTCCCATTTAGCAAGGGGTAGAAAAAGGATTTGAACCCAGGCCTTCCTCCTCTGCCAGCCTGACAGCCAAGATGCCACTCCTCCAGGCAGTCCCCCAGGCCCTACCACTGGGACCCTCAGAATTACTGCTATTCATTGGTCTGGTGCAGCAGCACCTATGGGGGCCATGACATAGTGAGTGTGAAATAAGTTTTGTCTGGGAAGGACAGGCCAACACAGGCCACACAGCAAGGTCAGGCTGGTGAGGTGGGCTCTGCTGGCTGAGGTCCCAAGGCAGGCAGGGCAACATCAGAGGACATTAGGTGATAGTTCAGGACCAGTGAGGGTGACACCATGGGGCAAATGAAATCATGTCAGTAGATAGGCAGGGTAATATCACAGGACAAAGTGATGTCAAGGATCTGGCAGGATGATGCCACAGAATGTAATGATGTCACATGGCAGGTCAGTAATTTCAATGGGCAGGCTGGGAACATCACCAGATAACCAGAGGTTATGTCACAAGATGTTTGGGTGAGGATGAGCCAGATGGGGTGACATCATACCACAGGTGATGTCACACACAGAAGGGCTCACAGGAAATGAGAGACAATTGCCACAACATTTCTGTTTGATGTGACAAATTGCACAGTTTTCCAGACAGGGCTTTGGACTTATTCTATTTTCAGCTCTGATGGCACAGTGGGTAAAGCATTTGGCTGCTAACCAAAAGTTGCTGGTTCGAACCCACCAGCCACTCCGTGGGAGACACATGAGGCAGTCTGCTCCTGTAAAGATTTACATCCTTGGAAACCCTATGGAGGCAGTTCTGTTCTGTCCTATATGATCTCTATGAGTCACAATTGACTCGATGGCAGTGGGTTTCAGGTTTTTTTGTTTGATTTTATTTTCACATTGATGCAGCTTCCATTTTGAACTGCTGTGTGTGGGGGTGCACTATAATCTTTTTGGTGCTGGGGTAACTGAATGTTAGGGGCCGCCCTAACATTCAGTAAATGTTTACTGAGCATCCACAGTGAGGAGGGCCTGTCCCTGGGACTTTTCTCGTCTGGCAGACAATAAACAGTCCCAACTGTTGTAGGGACAGGATGAAACTGCTTTCTCTAAACCTTCCTGTAGATGGGGTGGCCTGGAAGGCTTCTCTAAGGTGACATCTTCAAGGTGAGCAGGCAGCTCTGCGGCAGCCCCCAGAGGTGGGGAGAGGCAGTCTCAGGATTGGGAAGGAGCACTGTGGGCCAGTGAGGATGGTGAGGATGATCAGAGGTGGGCAAAGGGTGCCATTCCCGGGCTCCTTGTCCACTCGGGCCCCATCCTGAAGCTTCTCTCCTGCTCATCCATATATGGCCCTGATCTGGTCCCTAGCAAAGCCCATGCCTCACCTTTGGGATGCCCTCTAGGATCCCAGGCCAGAACCAGTACCTCTGTGGTGCTCTAGTCCCCCTGACCCCACCCTGCACAGGTGTGTTCTTGAGGCTTGGGATTGGTGGGAGGCCCTGCCTGGACCCCCTGCCCAGGCTCCAGTGCCTAAGCAGCTCAGGCCGTCCCGAGGTCACCCCAATCTCTGAAGCCCTCCTCCCAGGAACTCCCTTTCCCCAAGCTGTGGGAACCCGCTAGTGCCCTCCAGTGGCCACCAGCATCTCCTCTGCTGAAAAGGCTTGTTCTCTGGTCCTGCTGTGGGATGCGGGTGGGCCCGGGTAAGCTCCTGGTGCAGGCGCTGGGATGGCATCTGGGTGGGCTCTGGCCACAGCTGGACTGCCCCCAGCCTCACGCCAAGATCAGGCAAGCAAAGGATTCAGACGTGGGAACATCTGGCCGAGCTACATTTTCAGCCATTCTTTCTCTCACTGGCTGTCTAACAGCATATGCGCTCACTGAACCTTGGTTCCACCTTGCTGTTCTCATCTGTAAAATGAGGATCCCAGGGTTACTGGAAAGATGAAGTGAGAGTCTATTCTTGAAGCATGTTAATGGTGCCTAACCCGTAGATAGCACCCAATATTTATGTCAGCTATGGTATTGTCATTGTCCCAGAGAAACAAGCACAGAGGGGACTGAGGCAGGGAGGAGCCGCATCCCCCACTGCACCTCCTGGCCCTCCCTGAGAGCCCTCTAGACCCATCTCAGATGCCTGCCAGAGAGGGAGGGGTGCCTGTGCTTCAGGGATGCCCACCCCAGAGGAGCCCACCCCAGGGAGCCCTGCCCCAGAACCTCCAGGATCACCCTCTTTGCTGCCCCAGCACCAGCCAGGGGTCTCTCCAGGCCAGAAGAAGGTAAGCTTTCTGGGAGTCTTCACCAGCTGTCTCCCTTAGGCTGCCCCTGGCTGTGTCCCCACATCTCTGTGGGTCTCTGCCTCTGCCCTTGTCTCTCCAGCTATCTCTCCCTGCTCTCACAGCTGGATTTGGGAGCCCTGGGGGCCCTCCTGGTTCCCTGGCTCTGAGTGGTGGGGACAGCTCTGGGCTGCAGTGAGATCACGGGGCTGAGATCTGCTGAGCTCAGTCATCTTTTCTAGAGGCAGCCACCCACCCGTATACTCAGGCCATGTCCTTGCCACAGCCCCCCACCCACCCACCCACACCCTACTGTGTGGGCCTCAAGCATGGAATGCAGGGACAGTGCACATGGCACTTCTGAGGCTACATCTTAAATGTGCATGTCACCTTCTGCCCTGAGATAGTCACTCAGAACCAACAGCCATGCTGTGGGGAAGCCCAAGCAGGCACATGTGGAGGGGCTACAGAGAGTTCCATGGGAGTGTTGTGGCAATTGCTAGCCAGCCTAGCTGGCAGGTGTGGATAAGACACCTCCAGGTGATTCCAGCTGCTGAGCCACCCCCCTTCCAATCTTCCCAGCTGCGGATCCAGACATGGTGGAGCTGAGACCAGTCTTCTCTGCCATGTCCTCTTCCCGTTGTTGAATCACAGAATCAGGTGGTGGCTTGCCTTACATCTTGGAGCTGTTTCTTATGTCGTGGTGGTAATGGACTACCTGGGAGGGACTGAGGTCACCATCCCTACATCCCTCCTTCCTTCCCTTCTCCTGCATTCCCAGGACTTCACAGCCCTGGCCTTCCACTGCTGAGTGCTCCTTGGGAGCCACAAGTGCCAGCCTATCCTCCAGGCCCAGACTGAGGTGGGCCACGCCTGAATGGCAGTGTCCCAGGGACCTCTCTAGGGATACTGCTTGCAGCAGAGGGAGGGACTGCGGTAGGCGAGCCAAGCCCCCACCATTTCATTGGGGGCCTGTGGAGAAAGACAGGGGTGTCTTTCAGCCCAGACACTTGGGGCTCCAGCCTTGTGGGCATCTCCTCACCTCTGGCTGCTGTGACAGCATACCCCACCTTAACATTGAGCCTGTGTCCCTTGGGGCCCCACTCATGCCAGCAGAGCATCATTCTCCCAACCTCAGACCAGGTTGCCCTTCTCCCTGCCGCCACACCCACCCCCAGCCCGGAACCTCAGTGCCAGAGCATCTACAAGGCACAGATGTCCCGCTTCACCCCTTCCTGCCACAGGCCAGTGGTGCTGGGCTCAGGCAGAAGGCACCAAAGTGGCTGAGGCTGGAAGCTTCCCATGTTCTCCCCAGGAGAATTGGCTTGGGCGTGGAGATGTTCATGGTGCAATCCTAAGCATCAGAGGGGCAAGGCTGAAGGCGCTAGCATGCAGGTGGGGCGGGGATGGAGAGCAGGGCGGGAGCACCATCCATCCAGTCCTTCCCATGGGTGGACATGGCACTTCTCCCCTTACAGGCACTGGGGAATGGCTTTTCCCAGCCACTCCAACCTTGGAGCAGGGTCAGTGTGCATATTGGCATCTCTCCACATCGGAGATGTCATTTCCCCCAGCCCCTGGGTGGCAGCATCTCCTCCCAGCATCTGTCTGCTCAGGGGCTGCTCTGCTCAGCCTTCCGTGGGTAAGGCTTTTCTCTCCCATTCTACTGGGACCCCTGTACCCAGGGAGACAGGGGCACTCTTTTCGTCCCTCCATGACACTTCCTGACCTCTTTCTCCTTCACCCCAAGAGCCCAGCTTGCAATCTGGTGCAGTGGCCTTGCCTCCAGGAGCCGCCCTTCATTGTCTGAGAGTTTTAGTTCTAGGTGGTTTCAAAATCTGCCGGGAGATCCCCAGCCTTCTGGCCTTGCACTTCCGGACCTCCCCCGACTCCCTCAGCTTCTAATCTCTGACCTATTCTCTGGGTGCCTCTGCTGTCTGTCCCCCTGTGACCATTAACTCTCCACCCTCTTGGTGCCCTGCCTCTCCAACTATCAGCAGTCACTTATCTGCTCAGCCTTCCTCCACTCCCTCACCTCCTCAGCTCATTTTACTCACTTGGCTAACCCCTGACCATGCTAGATCTCAACCATCTTTGTGCTTAAAAAACAATGTTTATTCTTTGTTTTGTGGGTCATCTGGGCTGTCTGAGGCAGCTCCCACTGGTCTGGGCCCTTCAGCCAAGGGTCATGGGCCATGATGACATCATGTACATATCTGCCCTTGGAGGTGGCCCTCCTCCTTGCTCTTCACCTCCCCCTCTCCCTGCCCCAGGCCCACTGGCCTCCTTCTGGTGCTATCAGGACAGCAGGACAGCATCCTAAGAGTGTGAAGGGGATGTTGTAGGGCCTCTTGAGATATGGGCTCTCAACTCAGACAATAAAACTTCCACCACATTCTTAGGGCCATGGGCCATTTCTCAGTCATCTACCTGTCCTGCTCTCACCCCATAACCTCCTCCTAACTTTTAGGAAGATATTGAAGCCATCAGAACAGAATGCCTTGAGGCCACCTTCTTCCCTCCCAGTCTTCTCCACCCTCCCTCCCACCTCCCAACTTTCTCCCCTCCTCCCACCGTGGCCCACATATGATCCTTTGGTCAGACCCTCCCCTGCCAAGGGCTCTGTGTGATCTACACACACGCTCATACTGCTTCTCTGGTGTCATCCCTTGTCCACTCTGCCCCAGCCACTCAGCTTCCCATATGCAGACTCACACTGGCCTCAGGGCCTTTGCATGGCTGAGGCTCTACCTGCAACACTCTTCTCCAAGGCTCTTGCCTTCCCCTTGCTATGTCTTTACTCAAAGGCCGCTTTCTGATGTCTCATCTCCTGTCCACTCCACCTCCTATGCCCCTTTCTATTTTTTTTTTTCTTATTATTTATCACCACATCACAGTGCCTTCTTTGCCCAAGTTTCCAGCCCCATGGCAGGTGTTGACCCAGAACTTGGCCCGGCCAGCTGTGGTAGAAATGGTGGTTTTTCAGTTCCAGGTCAGAGTCTGGATGCACAGGGCAGGGGTCCAAACACATGGGGTTGAGTTGAAAATCTAGTCCCAGATGTCTCTGGCTGCAGGGCCTACTCATCTCTCCATGCTCCTACCAGCTGTACAGCTCTCCCACACCCTCACCTGGGCCAATGTGGTCCTTGGGTTTGTCCAGGGTCCCCACACATTGCCCTCCTAACATGCCAGCTCCAGTCCTGCCTCCCCTAGACCAGAATAATAAGCCCTCCCTGGTCTAGAGACTGCCCTCCTCCTCTGTAGACCCTTCTCGCCTCCCTTGACTACAGAAAGCTGGGCTTCGAGGGGCCACATGGGGTGGGATGGAGGCCCATGAGGCTCAGGTTAGGTGCAGCTGTGGGGCTAGCCTCAGGAAGCTTACAGCTGATTAGCTCAACAGTCTAGTTCCTCAAGACGCATGCAATCCAGATCCAGATTCCATTATCATTCTTTAAGGAGCTGGAAAAACTAATCACCAACTTTATATAGAAAGGAAAGAAACCCCAGATACAATGTAAAGCACTACTAAAGAAGAACAAAATAGAAGGCCTCAAACTCCCAGATCTCAAAGCCTACTTAGTACACAGCCATGGTAGTCAAAACAGCCTGGTACTGGTACAAGAGACACATAGACCAATGGAACAGAACTGAGAACCCAGAATTAAACTCATCCACCTACAGACAGCTGGTCTTTGACAAAGGGCTGAAATTCATTAAATGGGGAAGGGATAGTCACTTCAACAAATGGTGCTGGCAAAACTGGATATCCACTTGCAGAAAAATGAAATAGGACCTATATCTTACACCATATACAAAACCAGACTCAAGATGGATCAAAGACCTAAACAGAAAACCTAAAACGATAAAGAAAACACAGGTAAAAACTTAGGCACCCAAAGACATGGCATAAATACACCAGCAAACATAACTAAAAATGCACAAATACCAGAAGACAAAATAGATGACCGGGACCTCCTAAAAATTAGACATTTATGCTCATCAAAAGCTTTCATCAACAATCTACTTCCGTAGTGATACTGCCTCGGAAACCCAAGGAGGGATCGCTATGAGTCGGGTCCAACTCGACAGCACAAGGAAAAAAAAAAAAAGCTTTCATCAAAAAGTTGGTCACACCACAGCCAGCTACCTAGAGGGACCAAGTAGTTAGATCTGTGGGCTTGGGACTATAGTCACAGGGGACATCAAGCTCAATTGGCATAACATACTACACAAAACATTGTTCCACCTCCTACTTCGGCGAGTAGCTATTGGGATCTTAAAAGCTTACAAGCAGCCATCTAGATGCAACGATGTGTCTCTCCTCGTCCAGAGCAAAGAAGAATGAAGAAAACCAAAGATGCATGGAAACAATCAGTCCAAGCAACTGGTACACCATGCAATCCGCAGTCTATACAACTTTGAGACCAGAAGAACCAGATGGTGCCCAGCTACCACTGTCAACCACTTGGAGGGGGATCTGTGTAGGAGATCCTGGATAGAGTGGAAGAATGATGTGGAACAAGACTCAAAATCATTAAAAAAAAAAAGGACCAGGTTTGCTGGTCTGATAGAGCCTGATGGAACCACTGAGACTATGGCCTCTAGCTGCCCTTCAGGTCTGGAATTCAACCCACTCCTGTTGCTTCCAGCCAAACAAAAGACAGGCATATGAGGTAAACATTTACCTGAGGTAGATACACTCCTTGCAGAGATCAATAATGGGAGAATAGAAGGGCTGTGTATGCACAGGGAGACAGCTCCAGGGGCAGGAGTGCGTGGAGGGAAGGACACAGGGAAGAGGTGGCTATGGAGAGGAAGTAGGAGGAGAGCTATTGCATTGTGGGAGATTGAAAGTAATGTCCTGAGACAAAGTGTATATCAACTGCTGTATGGAAAATGAATTTTCTCTGTAAACTTTCACCCAAATCACAATAAAATTTAAAAATAAAAAAAGCTTTCACCAAAAAGAGTAAAAAGAACCCACAGACTGGGAGAAAAATAAT